TGATGGACTGCAGATGAAAAGAGGATTCAAGGGCTAACTCTGGCAGATTTTCACCACTACTGATTTATACAGTGTGACCCAGTGAAGCAGGCCAAACCAGGCTGTTCTAAACCCCAAATGATCTGATTCGACCTGTGTTTGGCACGGCTTCCTTCATTGTCCCAAGACAAAGGGTGGATGTGTGCTCCATCAATTTAACCCGATTCCCGTCCAAACTAGCTTTCCAAGACACATTCAGCAGATCAGGGCATGAACTGCACATCATTTTTCTATGACAATTTTAAAACATCCCAATTCTGTCAGCAATTGCAGCTCCTGTGGCACATCTGTACTCGCTGTAGTGTATCAGGAGGGTTTTTTCAACCAAAATCAGTTCCAAGTCTCTAAACTGCTGAGATTCAAGAGGCTAAAAACACAGGAGAATCTCAGTAAGCGCTTTTCCAGTACAGTCCGGTGAGAGGGTCAAATATGTGAGTGCGTCTATAATGGCTCTGAGGTCATTAGTGTATTGACACAGCGGCAGATGATGGAATGGGATTCTGGCCACACATGCACATTAACACACACTCGTCAAGATGTGAACGTGTGCATACATACACCCACGCACAGTGTTCTCACTGGGTAAACAGCCAATGACATCTACTTTTGCATTGTGGGCTCTTGATTTAGATCAGGCGATACTTTCTTTTTGTATTTCTTACATATTCACTAACTACCTCACCCTGTGCCGCTTTCAGTCCTTCTCTCGTTCTTTATTCTTTTGCTGTCATCCTCAAATCGCTGAACAGTCTTGCAGAGACTTAATATTAGAAGAGACTCCTTCTGTCCTTAGCATTAACCTCCCTCTATGTTTGCACTCAGCCAATCAGCACTTAAACAATCAGGAACTGCAAGCAATTATAGCGGGCTATTCATTTTCATATGCTGTTCATATGCTGAAACACAGCAATTCATTTTCTATTACATCGCGGCCTCTCATATGTAAAATATGTGTACCTCATTCATAATGTGTGCATGTATTATTTGAATGCTAATAAATGTGAAATATATTATTTGACATAATATTGTTTGGGATCAAATACTCTAAGGAGTGTGTGGGTAGGTTTCGTGTGTGAGGTGATAACAGGTTAGTTAAATTGTTTCTTTTTTGCTTTGTTTTTTTTTAAGCACATCCGTTTTAAATTATTGCAAAATGATAACATTTATTTTTTGCACTCAGATTTATCATGCTAAATGTTAGTATATGGATTTAGACTTACTGTATAATAGAAGCCTGAATTATTTTTAGTATGCCATATCTACCAAATTGCTTATGATTAAGATGAGCCAGCATCTCTCAGGATTTGTAAGATGACTGTCAAGTTTAAAAGCTAACAATTTATCTCCCCAATACTGAAAGAAACATGGTGTTTAAAGTGGCCCGAAATTAAAGCTGTAATTACAAATCACTTGGAAATTGTGGGTTCTGACAGACAGGGAGGATGAGGTGTTGAATGGAAGGATGATATGATGAAGGGAGGGGGGCAGAGGATGAAGTAATGTGCCTGCACAAAGCACTCAATCCGGGGGTCAGATCCTGTTCATGGAAACCATCTGGCCAGCTTGATCTGAGCCACACCAAATCCAGTGCACATGATTCTCCTTTCTGTATATCTCTCACTTTCCTCCTGCCTTCAACCTCAGCTTCTTCCCATTTTTATCCAGTATTCTTCCCAGCTTCCTACACCTCCCTCTCCTTTCCACCGCTTTACCTTTTTTACCCCACTGCTTTTTTCCCCCTTTTTCTTTCTCAAAAAGTATCCTACTCATTAATGCATGGCAGCTGCAGGGAGCAGTGTTACTTCATTTTTCCATGGCAACGGTCTCTCTGTTTCAGCAGATCCCATTTCAGTTTTGGTAACAACGTGCTCTGTTGCCAGTGCTGAACACATTCATGTGTTAAATAGAAGGAATCATTTTAAAATTCCTGAAATAGAATCACCATCCTGATCACTTGCAATTATTATCAGAGCCAAAAAAGAACATGGGTGTCCTCAGGAGAATAGGGTGGAGAAGGGGAGATGGCTGGATGAAAAGTGCTACGGCTGAGCAGTGGGGGAGAAGAGTAGAAAACAAGAGGGAGAGTAAACACATAGAACGCAGAGCTCGGGAGATGTGGTAAATAGCAATGACCAGAAGAACAAGAAGAAAGAAAAGCTGTGGGTGAAAGCTCCAAGGATGAGTGCAGGAGCCACTCGTAGACATTTCACGCTACTCCAGCCTACGTAACATTTACAACAGTGCCCAATGTCAAGTGACTATTTAAAAAAAAACAATAGAAAAACATATTACATTACCAAAAAACAAAGCATGCACAATTAGGATGATGTGTGCTGGACAGAACACTCTGAGTCCATCATGCATGTTGCAGTGGACACTGGCTTTATTGCTCTAAGCGAGTGAAAGACTGAGACCTCTGTTCATCCAAGAAGTAATTAGCACAGGTAATGTGTAAACTCCATTTGTCTACGAGCCAGCAAGCTTTTCTGTTTTCAATATCAGCTGCCTGACTTTGTCACGGACAGTCTCTTTACTTTTTTGATGGTGCTTTAATTATTTATGAATAATGACTTGGATATTTTCATTGTATGTGTCATCTATTATTCCTAAACAGGTAAGACTCTTACAAACTGAGATAGCCAGGACAGTACATAATTTAAATCGAATAGATATCACAGGTTAGAGTGTGGCAATATGAGGGCTCGGATTCAGATAAGCTGTGTTTAGGAATGTATGTTAACATAGTTTGTTGGTCCTATTAAAAAAGGCAAATATGGTGAAAAGAGTGACTTTAGAGCACAAGACTCCACACAGAAACATGTTCTGTTTGTCCAGCTGCTATTCTGGTTTCATATTTGAGAGGCATAAGACATTACATAAGCTTGAATATTCAAATAAGACTGAGACGAAGGTAAAGTGAACAGTTTATTTTTTCTAAATTACGTTAAGTATTAATTATAATGATTAATTACTGTACTGATGGCATCTCCAGACATTTTCACTTTATGCATCAATATTTTTGAATCTCATTCCTATTAAAATGAAAACACTTCCAGTCAGTTGCTGTGCATTTGTAAGATGAAAAATAATGCCACAGCAACAAAGCATCACACCACATTTCAGACAAGTGCTATGGATTTAAAAAAAATGAGAGGTTTACACTATCACTAGCTATCACATCTTTATGTTCTGTTTAAACAGTCTTAAGTGGTCTCAGAAGCTAAGGAATAATAAATACTTTGGTAACTTTGTATCCCCCAGTCTCATTAACCCAACCTTTTTTCTGTCCTTCCTGCTGCTCCTCTCTTCTGTAAAAGTCAGAAAGAAAGCCCTGCATGTTAAATTGGGCACATGTGCAGCAGAAGTGTGAGCCATTAGGTATTCTGTTTACACCACACTAAAATAAATGGAGTGGTTCAAGTTTGGGGATATCCAAGACCTGGGGTACCAGCTGTTGGGGTTTTCGGTTTGGTTCGCTTCCACTCCCATGTCAACAGGACAGAGTGTTTCCTAATTACTGCTGCAGTATGTGGTGTGGTCCCAGTCACACAGCCGAAGGGGACAGAGGAAAGTGGAGGCAATGACGGGCTCAGCAAACTATTAGAGGGTTGAGTTAACTCTTGTGAAAGTACTGTAAACAGCTCAATGTACTGACATAGGACGCCGGTTCTGGAGAATTATTTCAATTCACATGCTCTCTTTCTGTCTGAATGACATCAGATTGTGTGGTCCAAGCAATAGGAATTAAAATAATTTGAGAAGGGTTGTTTCATTTATGCCTCAATAGTTATTGTTTACATGCTCATAGAAACTCACCTTAAAGCCCTACTCAATTTAAGGAATGATTCAGCTGTGACTAAACCCTGAAACTGAATAGCCACATTGCCCACAATGAATAAGCCCACTGACAGAAAACCCCGCTGCACCTGTGATGACTTACACGCACTCACAACAGTATAACTATTACTACACGCAAAAATTGAATCTTGTTCATTTATGATGCCCGTTGTGACATATGAAATATGCTTGCTGACAGTTAAATGTAACCATAACTTTGAGAGCTAGTAAGAGGAAACACTAATCTTTTAACAGTAATGTAGCTGCAATACTTGAAATTAGTTATTGTTGTTTACTGTGGTTGGCGTAATACCCTAATAATTGATGAACAAACAAAAAGAAAACACAAGATTAAAACTGTGGACACATGTGGGCAGCATTTTCGGAGTAATACTCACATAATGTAGTTAATCTGCCAAAACTGAGCCCAACACATTACTGAACTGAAAGATATCCATATGTACCATGCAGTAATGTACCCCGCATGATTACTATGCGCAGGGAAGCCCATATGTGCACACACCATGATGTCCAGCTCTTGCATCAAGAAGAGGCCTGCTAGAGAGTTGTCAGCACTTCCTGATGTGCTTCAGATGGGGCTGGTTGTGATGTGGTCTCTACTAACTAGTCCAGTCAAGATGCAGCGAACAGACAATCGATGGGAGCATTTAACTTCCCAGTTAGACACTTAGACAGACAGGAACATCCAAGACAGCCAGCAGGCCAAACGGAAACTCGGCTTGCCACAATGGGACATGAGACACTGTATATGCATCTGTATGTAAAAGAGGGTAATCAGTTAACAACTAACAGAAGTCCCTGGATGCCATATGGCTTCACAACAGAGAGCACAAAGCTGGGCTGGGATGAGCTAAATTTGAATATATTATACCATAGAAATAGGAGAGAAATAGGTGGTCAGGGAAAAGCATTGCTGGTCCCAGAAGGCGTACAAACTTTTATCCGGGTACGCGTTCGTACGCCAGAAGACCAAACGTAACACTGAGAGACTAAAAAACTGTAAATAATCTTAATGGACAAGATCAATGAACTTTCATCCAAGCTCAGGGGAGTAGTAGAAATGTCTTATATACCCGTTCCAGTACATAAAGACAGTTTGGTACCTGCAGAGTGAGACGTTTAACAGCATCCCAGGCGTGGGCGATGAGCTCCTTCATTTGTTCCTCTGAGGTCGTCCATGACTCCGCAGCTGTGGTGTCAGGCATCACCCTCATTGGGATGGACAGTGGACGTGATTCTGGGAAAGAAAAAAGTGACAGGCATGACATTGTAATGAAGCTTTTAAACAATCAGCGCCATCATTTCTCATAGTGTGTACTTGTACTGCTGATAGACTTGCTGAAACATTTAGCTGACTCCTGAAGGAACCGCTACCACAGAAGTGAAGCGGCACCTTGTAAAGTCTTAAATAAAAACTGGGTTTTAGTTATTAACATGAGAAAATTTTGCCCTGCATTTATCCTTTATTTCACTCTCTTCATAATTCACTGTTATTTTCATTTACTGTAAAGTATCATGTTATATGATGTTTAACTGACACTTCATTGAGATGATGTAATGTTGGCACTCAGGTTTCTTGTCTCCTACAGCAGGAGAGGGAACTATGAAATTGAGAGAATACGCACGCACACACACACACACACACGGACACACACACACACACGCACACAAACTTCTAGACATGACATGTTCTGGTGTGCCTGCTGTGGTCCAGACGAGGGCTGATTGTCTGTGCTGACACTCATGGCAACAGTCAAGCACAAAAATCACACAGTAATAAGCATATTCAATTATCCATTCTACTAACTATATGAACTAAAGCACACCTTCACTGTAAGAGAACCAGTTATCGATAAGAAGACGACAGGAAGCTTGAGACAGTGTAAGAAATATACATAGATACGGTGAACGAGACAAAGGCATGAGGGCATTCTAGCAGGTTAACCCGAGGTCTGTGGATGTTAAAGCCATCAGGGCGTCAGAGGTTAGGGAAGGGGGGGTGGGGGGTCTCTCTAAAGACACATTAAGACATATTCCATGATTTAAAGGTCTGCCTTGCTCAGCAGCCCTAACCCACAGTTTTCAAGAAACAGCAGTGATGTCACAGCTGTACAGTGTGCCCTCAGACACCATGTTCCCAGATATCTCCAAATGCGTTGGCATGGCAATAACAGCATGTTGGTGGGGAAAATGACAAAAAAGGTGGTTAACTAACCATTGACCCACATACCATGATCCACTTTTGTTGGTCAAGGTATGTGTGCATATCACATGTGCACAAGTGGAAGAAAACAAAACTGATAATGGGTCTGCACTCTTGAACAGTATTTTCTCACACTCAAGCTGCCTCTGGCACTTGGGGACTATGAAATGGACTTTTTGTCATGATTCCTACAATCGGTGTTGCACTTGACATTATTTTTACATTTGGCAATTTCCAGTCTACCTTCCTCACTCTTATTCGTCAGGTTTTTTTTCTATCCTTGTAATACTTCCAGTGTTGTCCTACTAGATGCCCACAAAGTGAAAGATGGCAAAAATTGACTTTGACAGGTCAGATTGTGTTTCATGGGCTGACTTTTCATTGAGTAATATGAATAGAGTGCTGCATAAACTGCTGTGATATCATTGAGTTGTCAATAGAGTTTTATTGTGAAGGGCTGTGCATACGTTGGACTTTTCCTGTTACATGGCATTAGTAAAGTATCTCATACTTTGCAGGGGATCGATGTAGACAAGACAGGGGTGTGTAGCTACCACTGTAAGTCATGCAGCTGTCTAGACTAAGGAGACATTACCCCAAGAACTGGGCTTTCCCTGTGTATGTATATGTATGTGTGCAAGTTTCTTCCAATTTTGGTTAGTGCCCTGGTGATCTCACGGTATACATCCTATACTATCTACACAACATTTTACCACATTAGAAAATACAATAAAAGCATATACCACAAACACAAGCACATTTAAACACACACAATCTTGACAAACATAAAAACCATACACTGAAATAGAACCCATAAAGAGCTCACACCCTCACGAATCATCACTCATGAAATGTTAAAGTAAATACAGGCCACCCTTCTGAGCTCCAAAAACAGAAACTCATACACAGTTGTACCATCTCCATCCAATTTACAAAAATAAGAGAAAGTTGCTTGAGGGTGGAGCGGACCTTGCATGACAAGAAACTAAGGACTAGCTAACTGTAAGCATGTCTGCAGAGGAGCTTATGAGACAATGAAACACAGCATGCATGATAAACCTGCATAATTAATTCCATAATGCACGCACGCACGCACGCACACACACAGTATGTCACTACAGATTCCAAAAATCTGTGAATAAAGGCAGCCATGAGCATCATCTGGACTCTTCTGACCTAAATCACTAATACTCAAAAATATTATTCTGAGTCATTGTTCTCAACGAGCCCATCATTTCTTAAAATTATTCCTTTTTTGGCAAAGCGACTGTCCTAATCCTTGCTAACTTTGCCGTGAGAAAGCCCGATGAATGAGTGGATTTGTGATCATCTATTTTTGAAAGCCTTTTTTTCGTCTTTTTTACTTTGGGGGTAGGCCAGACTGTGAATGTTCTTCCCCAGAGTGAGTCTGTTAGCCCAATCAGAAAGTGTGCTGAAGTGCAGCATAGGCAGTAACAATGGATGAAGCCTTGTGCTTGGTTTTAAATACCATTCCAGGTCTCTGTTTGTTAATCCTAGGGTCATTATTTGGAATGAAACTGCCATATCTTGTTATAGTGACTTGGCGCCTGCCATTCCTGCAGGGAGGGGATTGAGAGAGAGCGAGAGGGAGCGAGAGAAAGAGAGAGAGCGGCAAGCCTAAATTCAAATGAAGGAGAAACATGACAGAAGAGCCCAAACCTCTTAAACCTGCCCAGGCCTAACAAGTCCTAGGAGTCCCTTTAAAGTGGGGTTATTCCCCCTGCCTCGTGCCATCTCAGCCATGTCCTCATTTTCACCCTCTCTTAGGCCATTAGGCTAATATGTTATTGGCCATACTCTGGCCATACACCCTCTCTCTTACCTTCTCTCCTTTGTTTCATTCTCTCTCCAACCACTCCCTCTTGTCTCTCTCTCTCAACTGGTTTGTGGAGCTGCCAGTCCAGTCCCTTATAAACATTCTAGTGTTCTGATGGTGGTTATTCATCCTGTTTAACGGCTCCGTTAAATCTCACAGTAAATGGAAGGCCACTGTCTCTGCAGCCCACGGCTGCAGTGTCAAATGCTCGGAGAAAAAGAAAAGACCAGAACCCCGTTACAGTACTTTGACTTCAGGGCGAGAAACAAATCAGCGTTGCCTCACATCACGATGCAGGTTGCAACACTGCCACGGCACAGCAACGTAGCTGTAAAATGTGTGAGGGTGTGTGGTGTGGTGAGTGTAAATCGCACATCATTCAAACGTGCGATTCGCAGTTGCAACTGAACGCGTGTTTAAATGCGCACAAAGGCACTGGCACACCCACACAGAAACACTAACATCATATCAGTGCCAGTGAACTTTCCACTACACATTTAACAGACTTCACAACAACAAAGGCGCAAAGCATCCATATCTTTCCCGGGTGGTTGAGTAACTCAACCATAAAAACAGCCTCATTGCGGGATCCCGGCATTTCCTCATGCCGCCTGCTATCTTTCTGGTATGTTCCCTATTACAAATGGTTTACAGTGAGTTGAAGTGTTGTATATTCTGCTACAGCTGCGTGCAGAGGCAGCAATAGGGCTCTTTAATAAACCTGCCCGCCTATTTGTTTTGGATGCAAGTCAGTGTTTATTTAAATATTTACGTGACTCCATTCGTTACAGCATTATTGAAAAAGCGCTGCTGTGGCCAGGCTCACTTGAAGGGGTGAGGAATGTGTAAGTGGTGGCATGAAGACACAAAAAAAATCACCCTTTTATTTCTACACATACTCCTCTAACACTACAAACTGCATGGTTGCTCTTTCTTCCAGATGTGCTTTAAGAAGACCTCTAACAGGAGGAAAACTCAGTCAGACTCTGATGCCTCTGGCAACATGTAAAGCAAGAAGAAAATAACAAATTTCACTACATAAGTGATAATGACACAGTAATGCAAACCAATTTTCACTTTATTCGGTAAAAAGAGCTGAAGACTTGTGCCAGATCGACCATGATAAAAGCACATAAAGAATTGCAACAGCACATGTTCTCTCGGTGACATCAGGAACCCTTGAAACATCTCATGTAAAAAGCAAAACAAAAAAAAACCCCATCTCAGCTCAGTGCCCAACCTCCTCCCATTCCTCTCTCATCCTCTGTCACTAAACCCCCTCTAGCCCCTCAACTAATCCACACTACATCTGATGAAACACAGCTCAACCCCAACTTCCCTCTTCGCTCCTCTCACTTCAACCTCAGGTCCCACGGCCAACATCCACAGTGCATAATACCCTTATCATTCATGAAAGCAGCAAAGGGATACATAAGGACACATATATTCCCCACAGACCATTCAGTCTGTCATGGAAGCTGGGGAGAGGCTTGTATGGGCTCATCAGTGTGTGGAGGCAAAAGACGTTCCAGCGTAGCAAGTAGGGTCCCCTCAAGACTTCGACCATTCTTCTACGAGAGGTGGGGGTTTCTATCTCATTATTCCTCCTCCTTCTTGTTTTCTTTCCCCACTCCAACCATCATTACCTTGATAAATTATTGACTTTACGAGAAAAATTAAACTATATAAATAACTCCACAATGAAAATATTATCCCCTTCTGAAAAGCAAACAGCAGCCAATAAAAACCCGCCTGACTTCCATCAGGCTACTTGGGCTTGGATTATAGTAATGTATGACTGCGTAGTTCTGCCTCAAGTCTTCGCATCAGTTTCCTCTCGCTCTTATAGATTTGTGTATGCATGTGTATATTAGTTTCTCTCTAAAATATATTCATATACGTCTTTCCATAATATATATTTCTAAGCCATGTGTCTTTACAAAGTTCCAAACCTCCTTTTTTGTCGATGCTTCACGGTTGAGATCACAGAAAAGCCATCAGTGCTAGAACGTTTTTGTGAGCAGCACGACCCTGACCATAACCTGATATTTGTCCTACCTTGCAGATTAACAGCAAGTGCAAATGTTTCCATTTTGTCTCTTTTTTTGTCCTTCCAGTAAACAAGATAATTACATTTAATCCCATCATGCAGACCACAAGCAGACAGGAACAAAGACAACAGTTCTCATTCCAACCT